ATTGTGAAGCGTGTCCCTCAGTCTTTTGTTTTCGAGATAGATAGAATTACTCAGTGTTCGTGCTCCAAGATCTGTATGGTTTTTCCTCGTTAGAAGTTACAGTTTGCTTCTGTCAAGTTCTTACAGTTGTATAAGTTGTTTGCATTGCATTACACTAGGACGTAGCTATAGGTTGGTGTTGTGGCGTACTGTTTTTGGGTTATTATCTGCTATCTATACAATGATGGTTGAAATCAGTTAACAGTGGGTAACAGGGTTTAGAGGAGTGAATTGCAGAAAGGACTGGAATCTGTATGAATATATTGGCGGAAGTGGTGTAGTGGCAAGTGGCACGCTTACCACGCGAGCGGTCCGGGGATCAAATCCTGGGTCGTGAGTCGCCCGGGCCAACCAAGCCTTCCATCCCTCCGGGGTCGGTTAATTGGTACCAGACTTGTCTGGATAAAAAACACTGACTTGAACATCGGCTGGCCCCGCAAGTCATTGTATAGGCCACATCGCATTCAAACGCCACTACGAATGTACAAATGGAAGTAGAATGCGTGCCGCATCCCAAAAAGGGATTGATCAACGGCAAATGCTTTATCCTTTTTATCCTTTACCGGATAAAACATAGACAAACAAAACAGGGCGTTGCAAAATCATAGGACACCCTCCAAAAACTATGAATATCTCGGCTTCTAAACTGGTAGAATCAGAACCGCCTCTATAAAAAACCTACACAAACAAGTAGCCAGATCATCCGAATAGTTTTCCGTATTTTTAGACAATTTTTTTTTAGTTTTGTAGTCGTTGCAAAATCATAGGACACCCTCTCGGAAGTCTCCTTAAACAAATTGTCTAAAAATACGGAAAACTATTCGGATGATCTGGCTACTTGTTTGTATAGGTTTTTTATAGAGGCGGTTCTGATTCTACCAGTTGCGATAGACGGCTTTTTCTAGAAGCCGAGATATTCATATTTTTGGGGGGTGTCCTATGATTTTGCAACGCACTGTATAACTTCGTATAATGTATGCTTAGCGCTTATATTTAAGCACCAACGTTTAAAGTATATAAAAAACGTCAGAATTGATCAGTGGTTTCTTTGCGATCATTATTACGAGGCTTTAATTCGATTACCGAGAATTACCGTGGATTTGGAATTTGAAAAAAAATATTGAGCACGTTTCGAAGTCCTCATCACAATCCCAATTCGGAAAACGTAAACAACATAACGTTCTGAAATTGATCACAGAAAGGTGAGTTCTACTGGAGGGAGATGGAGCCAGATTAGTCCTGAAAACTTCATTGGCAGCTTTGGCCTGTGTAAAATGAATCAAGAAATAGCAGCTGTCGAAAACGCGGATTAACTGTCGCCTGTTTTTTCCAATTTGGCTTCATTTCAAAATTCATAAATTGAAGAACCACTGAGCTACTTAATAATTAAAATACTGAACAACAAAGTATTGTAGAGTGAAAAAATACTTTCCAACAATGTAGAAGTTTTCCGAGAAAAAACATCAATTTAGTTGCAACTCTCTTTGCAATGCACATTTTTCTGAAAGAATTCCAGACACACAACACGTAATTTACGCTTCATTAAAAAGCCAATAGAAATTTTCAGCTCAGATGAACATCTCATCGTGTGCAGCTCGAATGTGGTCGTCATCAGCATGTTCCGTTAGCTGAAAATCATGATCTTCAATATCTTAGCCAAACATTTCCTATCGACCACTCTGACGTGCACGCCGGTCACCAAATTTAAAGGAATCTTCCGCGGAAAAAGCTCCGCCTCCATTACCACAGAAAAACGATACCCCTTAGGCCCCTAGCCTCATGAGCATAGCAAAAAGAACGGAACATAAGCGTTAGTTTCGATAATACTAATCCTACACACAAAATGATCACTCTTTCCGTGGAAGATTGTTTTTTTTCGGGAGATAAGATATCGTTTTCTGATGTGATGAGGGCGGAGCTTTTTTCGTGGAATATTCCTTCAAGGTATCGTGTTCTGTGGTAACGGGGCCGGACCTTTTTCGT